AAAAAAAAGATAAAAGATCGGGCCTAGAAGCTACGGTTCCCGCAGCTAGTTATCCATGGCACATTTTAGGCATTGTATGTCGGCAATAAATCGTTTTAAACAATTCTTTCATTCAAATTTGTTCGATTGGTGATGTCACACTAAACCCAAACAAACTAATTTCAGATGGAAACAAGAACCGCGATTGTGTCGCTTAAACATGTGTACACCATCATAACCCTGGCTGTCGCTCAACACTACAAGTAATGTTAACAATTTGTAAATAGTAACCAATGAAAAAGCAATTACGCGAGGTCTTGCATAAAAATGATCAAGAAAGAAAAAGGATATATTGTATTTTATATACATGTGTAATTGCAATCCCCGGGAGCATCGCCTTCTTTAAACAAGAAAAACACTCACTCAAAAGAATCACTCTGATCGGATTGAAAAGAGAGAGAAACTACTGCACCATACAGGGAACTGCAGAGGCATTATTGTCGGATGATCCTAATATACACCCATTCCTCCATACTACCCGCAGATAACACTTTTTCATTGGAATTTTGCTTGTGGTAAAAGCTCCGTCTCCAGTCCTATGAGGCATTGTATCCTCGATACTTCAGGAGTTACGCTCTCTGCCGCTCTCTTCACCCCTGGAATATGTCATAGGAAAATTAATGGCACGCGGCTAGCTATTTGATTGGTCTCGGATAAAAAAAAAGCCCTGACCAATCGCTAGGCTGGTACATGTGTTTTGAAGATTACATATATAAAGGAGCAACACCCGACTTCAAAGCTAGTCAATTTTAGCGTCACGTGATCGAGATGTTGTTTCAATGTACATAAACAAACGAGTCTTCCTGTATCATCCAAAGGTGGTGCACGCTGACACCACGATTCTTTTCACAATATAACCAAGGGATGCAGAGAGCGAAAGTGAGGTCACCCATGGGATACCGACGATGCAGTCATGGGTACTTGTTATGTAATTGTTGCGATGTAAGTACATGCGATACATTACTATCATTAGTCGTTATCTATTTCATTTAAATCACAATTTATGTGTACCTATTATGTGTATCAGTTCATTCGAAGGATGCTGAAGGGGTACTAAAATATCTGCAATATGCAATTCATTTTGCAGGATAACACCACATCATGGCAACGGTTGGAGGTGGGGATGGTAGCAGGCTGTAGAATAGCAGCTATCTTGTATTAACAGCAGCGAACTTGATAGTGAAATCAGTCTAGCATATGACATAAGGCAACCACCAACAAAAGCCTTCAGGGACGACATGACAGTAGCTACACAGACATTTGTGTAGGCAACTTGACTTTGCAAAAGTTTGAAACAGTCATTACAATGGCACGCATTGGATTCAAGCCAACGAAATCGAGGTGCCTGGTACCTGCATACATCATCTTGATGCATGGAGGTTTGAAAAAATGACGAACACCTGTGCGTGACGTTTACTTGTTGTTTGTGAAATGTATATCATGAAGCAGCTTTATTTATCTTCAATGCATGTTTATTTTGAAATATATTTTTTGAAAGATTTTGAATGAGACATCAGTATTTTTGTGTAAATTAGCTGATAGAAAATCACATTAAACCCCAGATCTAAACCTGGTATCATCTGCTTTACATTTGTCATCGATAACAACGCTGATTAAGACATCTATGTAATTAATCATTAATTCATATGACAAATCTTCAAAAAAAAACGATCCTGATGCTTGATTGATATTTAGATCGTAGCATAATATCACAAAATAAACATATCTTAAAACAACCATGTTATTTTTTTTTAATGGGAAATTAATGAGATATCCTAATACGATTATATATAGGTTTTTCGTGTTTTACATGCGAGACCCGGAGATATTCTGAAATGTCCGTTGGTTATTAAACAAAAAATAACAGGACCACAACCATCTTGTACAATATTTGTATTTACGTGTATGGTGAGGTTAACATAATGCAATAACTGTAAGCCCTTGGGCGGTTATTGTACACCGTACATGTTTCGTACACCAGAGTTTGAAATGCAATCCATGTAACGACAAGAGTGACACTCCGAACAAGGTAAGATATATGAAACAATGACGACCCCTGACCTTCTGTTGAAGATGTTTCAACTACCCACACCCTGGGACCCCACACGATATCATTTCCACGTTTCAAGAAATGGGCTATCCAATAGTATAGGGAACTCAAAACGACACCATTTCTTTACCGCCATTATCGCCAAATTTTGAAATTAAAACATAGATATGGCATAGTCGTCGGGAATATAAATGGTTAAATATTAGTTTTTGAGGTATTGGTTCTAATTACACCGTAATGTATTTTGGTTAGTTATTGAACGTTTTATTGGTAATAAACACACTCACCTGTTTCCATTGGTTGATATGAAGAACATCAACATTGTTGATGTGAATGACAAATTTATGAATTATGTTAATTTACTAGGTTTTTTCCTCACCTTATGTAGTTACTTCAACTTGTAATCGTGTCCTGCGTTTAATTCAACAAAAAATAGTTGACCAAGTTCAGTAATATGCATAAAGAAATTGCATTTTGTAGGCGCTTGTTCGTGAAGTTGATAATTATAAATTGTAGAATTTGTTCCCACGCCATCCATGCCTTTAATAAGAAATATTTCATGCTTGTACAAAGAACATCATTTAATTTCATATTCATCCTCGTTTCACTTTTTGGTGGATGTGCTTTAAATATGATTATCGTTTTGTTTGCATTGATTGGCAATTAAGTCAGAAGTTTTAAAATTGAAATTATTATTGAAACATAAATCATAGATAGAATTAAAGAAAAAACAATAAACACAAATCGTAAACAAACCAGAAACCATCATGAGACTACAAGTAAAATGATCTGTTTACAGACAAAACGTCAGCGAACATTTAACATAAAGAAAAAAACAGTTCTACTACAGTGCTTCTTAATGTACCAACGAAAATTGATTGGCATGCACCTTTTCATAGGAGAAGTCAATGTTCAGTCGGGAAAAGACTTCACATTAAGAAAGTTCCACTGAGTGAGTGAATGAGCTTATACAACGGGGACTATATCACAAGTTCCCTCCAGCAGAGGCAGTCCTCAGCTGTGGACTTATCGGTCGGTGATCATATTCTAATCATTATTACTATAAACGTATGGTGTAATGATATACTCCACAATGGCGTCTGTTTGATTAGAAATTAGAGAAGAATTGGCCTCCATCGAACTGTTGGACAAGAAAGGTAAGTAAGCTTCGTTAATTATTTACTAATTCATCGGTTAAGTGTAAAGTTTCTTTGCACCGGTGATCGTACTTATTGCAGTATGTTATAATATGATATAGAGGAAAATGTCGTCGTTGCCACTACGGAATGTTGAATATTATCTGATTTTTTTACTGTTTACTAAAGTATTGAATTCCATGAACTATTTCATCAATAGAGCAAAAATATGAGTTCTGTCAATAATTCTTGACAATATAACAAATAAAATAAAAATGCATGATACAAGTTACATATGATTATAGTTCATCAAAAATTGTCTCAATATCTTATTATATCATTTGTTATTTATATCACGATTCCTTATGCAATGATATATAAACAACTCGTTTACATATGCTTTGTTACAGTAATTAATCGTGTATTATCTGATTTTATTTCGTTTTATTCAAGACGTATCCCATCGACCACAGAATTAAACAGCTAAACGAGAACAAAGAAAAGACCAGCCACCATGACGAATAGAACCATACAATCCCTTATACTGCTGTCACTTGTTTACACCACAACAGGTAAGTGAAAGATAAATCAGCTTTTTATTTCATGTTTGATGAAACATTACAAAAAGCGTAGTATTTTATGGGCTATATACATCATTTGAGGTTGTTTTTGCAAATTATGACGTCACATATGTTGAAAGCTCCGTAGATCATAATGTTCAGTGAGATTCACATACAGTCGTACATGGACAGTTTTTTTAATTGTGCTAATGACTTGGTTAACGTCACACAATAAATTATGTGATATGAATAATGAGTAGGTCAGATAACTTATATATTATATATATAATACAATCCATTCAGTCTACAGATACTCATACTATATATAGTTCTATATGCTGATACAGAAATGCAGATTAAACAATCATCGTAGACTTTTTAAGTGTTATATTTATTACAAATTGTTATTTATTACAAATTGTACCGTATAACCTTTCTACCTTGTAAACGGTAAACATACAAATGCATAAATAAATATATTCACTTTAATTTACTCAATAACTAATTTACAATAAACAGTACTTTACTAAATTTTGAAACTCATAAAATTAAGGGATTTATACATCTCTTTTTCTGTTTCTGAAGTAATTTAGACTATTTTAGATTTTCAACTTTTTGGCTCAATGCATCACCGATGAGTTTTAGACGAAACAGATGTGTGGTGCATTGTAACGCCTTTCAGGCATACTGTATGATCTATTACTGAAGTTTAAAAGGTGCGAGCACGTGTTACGTTCATCTTTCGTTCTTATGCAGTTAACTATTTGTTAATATTTTAAATAGTTTCACTCTTATAGAAAACTAAGGAAAGACTGTAATTGAAATCATAGATTTTATGTTTCATAAAATAACACAAAAATAAGGGAAGTTTATCGGTCACAACTCCAATAATCCAGGTGGAGTACAAAATAGTCTGGGGTGGATGTTGCGGTATCTGTGCTGTAGCATTC